AATAAAATAGAACACATTAAGCAAAAATATCACGTAAAAACAGAAAGAAATATATATATATATATATATTGCGCACTGCACTATTAAAATTATAAAATAAATATTAAATTATTAACTGTTGCTTGAAACCTAAGCAATCGCTGATTACCAATAAATAACTGTAATAAATGTATCGAAATTTATTAAATTGCAATAAAATGATTTAAAATATAAGTTAAGATTTATAAAACTTTAAATTTCATTCCTTTTTAATTATCAATATGTATTTTTGAAGAATTCATGAACTGCATTTTTAGTTTAAAAAAAAAAAAATTATACGGCAAGGATGAAAGAAATGTCTTGATGAACTAATTCCATAAATATTTTAGCAAGTCTACTTATTTAAACTTAATCTGATATAACTTTCTCACATTGCGTGAGTCAGATAAAAATAGATACATCGGACAACTTTACCACCAAAATATTTCTAAAGCTATAAATTAAGCATAAATATTCAAACCTAATGAAATCTAAATGATGACATTTAGACTCTTACTGAAGTCAGACACTAATCTATTTAATGAAAGATTGAGTAACTGAAGAAGGTTATCTGTAATTTCAAAATCTTTGAAAGAAACCTCTGGCTTAAGGCCAAAACAGCAATTGATGTTGATATCAATGAAAGATTCATACAAAAGCAGATTTTACGAAACAAAACTATTCACTTATATTATTTCAGGATAAGCATATTTGAGATATAAATAAATTCTAACAAAAAATTTCTGAACAACTCAAACCTTACTTTATCAGCAATTTTATATTAGTTATTCATTATATTTCTTTCAAATGATTTGTATTCTAAATAAACTATTTTTACACGAAAACAACTACTTGAAAAATAACAAAAATAATGTAACTTTAAAGGGAGTCGGTAGGGGATATATCAATAACGCTAAATCCGATCTTTTTCGGTGTACCTTTTCTAAGAAACTACTTATGATATCGATTTGAAATTTCTTCGAAATATTTGAGGTTATATCAGTTGCATGCTGTGATAATGTTTTAGAGTTAACAGGAATACTTTTTGAGTACTGAAAGATTTTTTGCTCAAAAATGATGAAACGTTTTAAAAATTTTAAAGTTCTCAGTTCATAATTTTTTAAAAGAAAATTCTGTCAAAGATATGTATTAACAGTTACCCTAGTGTAAACATATGTATGCAAATATTCTGTGAAAAAACTAAAGCAATATCTTGTTTAGATGCTGATGAAAGGTACATCGAAAAAGGTCAGTTTTAGCATTACTGGTATATGCTCTACCAACTCCCCTAAAAATAAATTTTTGTTTCAAAAATTAAGTTCTTGAAATAAATTTTACTAAACACATTTTAATACTTTCAGGAGGTTTTTTTATTTATGTAAATTAAACAAGTGTTACATGAAGATGAAAAATTTAAAAATATCTCAGAGCAAGGAAAAATTTATAACATAAATTCCTTTTCAAAGATACACTACTTGATGATTCGTGGTTTATATTCCCAACTGTTAATTACTATACAATTGATTAACTAACAGTTTTAGCCATCAACAGTTTAAATGTCAATTAACTAACACTTGAATGAAAAAGTATAATATTTTGCATCATCCTAAATTAAATTTCGTACAAAAATACAATTATATAATAAATAAAATCAATATAATACAAAAACAAAATACAAAATAAAAAAAATACAAAATTTAAAAAAAACACAACAAAAACAAGTGAAGGAACAAAAAGAGGAGAAAAAAGTAAAATAAAAAAACTATTAAAACATTGAAAAAAGTATTAAAGAAATTAAAATTTTAAAGTTTATCAAAGGAAAGATATATTCTCGACATCAGCTTACAGGATTACTCCCATCAAAATAATGCTTTCTGATGTTGTATTAATTTTTCCAAAGCAATAAAATGAAATAGAAACACTAAAAACTAAAGAACTTCTTTAGTTTTTAGTGTTTCCTTTTCATTCGGCTTGCTTGTGAAATCGATGTTTGACCAGGTTAAGTAAGTTTTTATTTTCTGATGATTTTGTTTGAGTTTCTTTTCTAAATTGGTTATTTGTATTTCATGTTTTTTCCTGGACTTCTATACAAAGCCATCGGGGTACTGAGGGAGTTAATTTAGGCATTTGTTTCTCCCTCAATTAGAAATGGTTTTGTTTTATGGCTACCGGGCCGGTACCCCCTGAAGACGTCGGCTTCAGTGGTCATATTTTTATTTCCTTCGTCTCCCTTATTGCTACTTTTTTTTGAAATTTCTGTTGCTTCTTAGCGTGTTTTTTTTAAAGAACGTTTACTTATTTAGAATTTTAAAAAAAAATTTGTTTTCTTTTAGAGAGAAAGAGAGATAGTTATCTACATATCTATATATTTCTACAGATATATACGTAAGATGATAGAAATCCTTGTCAGTGGGGTAGGGTTGGTGTAGCGAAACATTATTTACAAACGGAATTGTATAAACAGGAAACAAATGTTTATGAGTAATAACTTTATATGAATGCGAAAAATCGTATTTTTCTCAAAAAACTTTACACCCTTAAATAGGGGTTGTCATTTTTCTCTGGACTTCACTGGTTGTTCTGAGAAACTGAACCAGATTTGCGCATTCTATGGACAGCAATTGTTTTCCATCTCTTTTCAACTTCGTTCCTTGTATATTCATTGTCTCTTATATTCTTTGTGATAAGTTATTAGCTTTCATTCACTGGGAAACGACATTTCTGCTTTGTGTTACAAAATGAAAATTCAATTTAATTTAATTGTAGATGGTTTTTTTTCGAAAACGAACGTAAATAAAAAAAACGCACATGAAGCAGTTATTGATTTTTTATCAGTTTCAGTGTTTCTATTATACAATCTTAAGACTGTAGGAAGCATAGAAAATATTCCATTTTTGCGCTGCATCTTGGCAAGTTTATTTTATTGTATTTTTGAATCTTAAGCTATACATCTAAATTGAAACTTCTGTGGCAAAGTAATTATAAAAATATATAAATGATAAAATTACATTTCTTTTTTATCATTTATATCTGAGGATATAAATAATAAAAAAGAAGTTTTTGACTAAAGAAATTGTGTCCTTAAACTGTCAAAGTATAATTCTAAGTGATTTATAGTTTTTCAATTCAATATTTTGGTCAACATTTGCATGATTTGGTAACAAGTTCCTAAGAAACTATTTAGAAATTATTTTTATTAAAAAGTTTAAACATTTCCAATTTATGAAGCGAACACGTTCTTATATTGAACGGAGCAAGTTCCACGAAATCTGAAGCAGAAACCACCACTTCCTTTGAGTTTAAATGCAAAACATATTATTTGGTTTGTACTATTTTTATTCATAAAGTGATAAATATTCATACGTTTGTTTAAAGTTTGTAAACGAAAAGGAGTATGTAATAAATCCTACTTCTCTATTCTACGATAAAAAAGAAGAAAAACTATATTTAATGAATCTAAAAAATGTAAATTCGTATTATTTGTGTTAGTTTCCTCATCAAACGCGCTCAGTGGACCTAGGGAAGATTTCTGTATATTGTATCATTTTCTCCTTTCATTTTACGATTGTGTTGTGAATATTTTACGAAATAAAAATGAAAATCGGAATAAAATTCTTAATGTAAATATTCATACTCTTAAGATATTTTAGGTCATAAAAAAGGGGCATATTTAATTAGATCAATTATGGGTTTAATTTTTTAAAAAAATTAAAAAAAAATATTTTTACCATATGCATTAATCCATAAAGTAAAATAAGACAAAGCAATATTGACATAACGCAGATAAAAATCACAATAGATCGTGAAATAAAGTTCTATAATTTATTTTAAAAAACTCTGGTTTGAATCCCGGTAACTTTTATTTGGCTAGTAAAAATCTTTCGAAAGAACAAGCAATTACAATGTTTATGATTTGATCAAAACAGAACTACACTCTATAACAAAAAAATCGACGCACCAAGAACGCACTAAGACGTGCAAAATCGACGCTCGATCAGGCTAGAATGATGCCGACTGGGGACGTATAGTCTTTAGCGACGAATCCCGCTTCCAACTGTGTCCTGACGATCATCGAAGACGTGTTTGGAGACGCACAGGGCAGAGGGGGGATCCTGCCTTCACTATTGCACGCCACACCGGCCCTCAACAAGGCATTATGGTCTGGGGTGCCATTTCCTTTGACAGCCGGACCCCTTTGGTCGTCATTAGAGGTACACTTACTGCACAGCGGTACGTCGACGACATCCTAAGACCTGTTTTGCTACCGTTCCTTTTGCAGCGCCCTGGGCTGGTTTTTCAGCAGGACAATGCCAGACCACATACGGCACGTGTTGCTATGAACTGTCTGCAAGCTTGTCAAACTCTTCCTTGGCCTGCCAGATCA